TTAAAGGAAACTAATGTCATTTTTTTCTTGTGTCAAATGACTTTCATTTTAATTACCAGATACTATCATGGAAAAAATAAACTATATACAGTTTCAAAAATTCATATTAAAAACAACAACTGCCTGGTTCTTTTTTTTCCCCCTTACCAATAAGATATCAGACTAAGGAAGGAATCTTTTAGGGTGCTCAAAAACCCTGTTTTTAGATTACCATGACTATTATGTCTTTTGTTATTTATTGAGAAGTTATTTATGACATCAATTTGAACTAATAATATGACACACAAACTATCTTGGAAATGTCAGTTAATTACTTGGAATGTAAATATTTCTTCCCAAATCACTTATGTGCCTAACCGGACTTTTCTACACATCAATAAATAAAGATAAACAAAAGAAAAATGGGCAAAAAAGAAAAAGACAAATTCAGAGGAGAAATAGAAATGTTCAATAAATATATAAAGATACTTAAATTCGCAAGTAATCAAAAAATTCAAATTTAGACAGGACCGTTTTATCCACCCATTAAATCAGCCAAAAAATAGAGTGGTAGGAGGGTAGAGGGAAATATGCTGTTGTGGCCCACTGACTAGGAGTGTAACTTGGCACAACTTCTTTGAGGCAATTAAATTGTGATATCAATATAGTCTTCACCAATAATTCCATTTCTAAATATCTATTCTGCATAATACCTGCCCATGTTCCAAAAAATGCATGTACAAGAATGTTTGTTGCAGCAATACATGTAACAAGAAAATTGGACATAATCTAGACATCCATCAATAGAGGGATTATTAAACTATGGAATGTTATGCAGAAGCTTAAATGAATTGGGTTACCCTCTATGTACCAAGAAGGAAACATGTCTAAGATATATTGTGAAGTGAAAGAATCAAGTGGGTAGTATGTTACCATTTATGTTTAAAAAAATGTAAAAATCACACAACATACCTATTTTGCTATCTGTAAATATGTATGTAGGCAAATGTGTGGGGAAAGGTCTGTAAGGAAATATAGTAAACATAGAGTAGCAGTTGCCTTAGGGTGGTGGATGAGGGCACAAGCAGGGTTTTCACTATACCTGCTATTTCATTTTTATATATTGAGAAAACTAGAGGCCTGGTGCACAAAATTCGTGCATGGCAGGGGGGAGGGTCCCTTAGCCTAGTCTGCACCCTCTCCAATCCAGGACCCCTCAGGGGATGTCCAACTGCCTCTCGCAATCTGGGACCACTGGCTCCTAACTGCTCGCCTGCCTGCTGACTGATTGCCTCTAACCCCTCTGCCTGCCTGCCTGATCACCCCTAACCACCTCTGCCTGCCTGCCTGATTGCTCCTAACTGCTCCCCTACTGGCCTGATCGCCCCTAACTGCCTCTGCCTTGCCCCACACCTGGGACCCAGGATTCTCTCCTCTGGCCGGTCACAGGCATCCGGGACCAGGACTTCCCTCCAGCTGGCCGGCCGCAGGGACCCAGGACCCGGGTCAGCTTCGCCCGGGCTGGCCACAGCTGCAGGGGTCCGTGGGCAGGCGGCTTCGCCTGGGCCACAGCCGCAGGCGCTGGTGCCCGGGACTGCGGGGTGGGTGGCTTGTCCCTCTTCCGGGCCACAGGTGCAGGTGGAGGCACAGCCATTGGCGCCCGGGACCACAGGCAGGTGGCTTGTCCCTCTCCCAGGCCACAGGTGCAGGCACAGCTGTTGGCGCCCGGGACCGCAGGGCGTGCGGCTTGTCCCTCTCCTGGGCTGCAGCCTAGCTGGTCCCATTCCTCTCTCCCCACTGTTGAGTGTCTGAGCCATTGTTGCATGACAGTGTGACAACCATTTGAATATTAGCTCTTTATTATATGGGATAATCATGTATTACTTGTTATAATGGAAAATAAGTTTAAATTGACTCTGATTTTAAAGAGGGCCTACCAAATTTAATTTTTAAAATAAACAGAATTGCAATCAATAGACGTTGATTTGGGATATGAAGGGGGAAATACCTTTCCTCAGACCTATTGACCTCAAAATTCTGGACCAAGAAGGATCGTACAATGCAGTTAGTTTTTTAAATTCATTTTTGGAGAGAATATACTCACAGTTTCTCAACCAAATGGTATGACTTCCACGTATCTTTACCAATGTAAGAAATAGCATTTCCTTGCAAGTTTCTGTGAAGAAATACAGTTAATATGAATAGCTAAGAAATGAATGAACAGAATAAATAAAACAATCATGGCAACCTTATGGGGAATATTCAAATGTAGAAAACACCAGCTTTCTAATTTCCACAGCTCTCAGCTTCCCAGTTTGCACAAGTAATAAAGACATAATGTGGGGCCACTGGCACACTGAGGCATCTCCTCAGAACCTGAACTGTTTTTCTTGGATAGGTAATGCCAGTTAATTACTTTGAATACATTTCCTTTTCCAAAATCACTTGTGTCTAAAATGACTCCTACAAGTCAATGAGAAAATAATAATTCAACAGGAAAATGGCAAAAAATTATCATTTTAAGCAAATAAATGTAAAGAAACCTTATGCCAGGCCACAGGAAAGCATTGGCTTAGTGCTCTCTTTGGAAATCTCTCCAGGTGTTGGAAGGATAAGGGCAATTAGAAATGAGAGGACTAGTATGGACATAGACATATTTGACAGGGAAAAGCACAAATCACTGAGCAAGGAGTAAAGTATTACCTCCGTAGAGGGAAAATACAAAAAGAAAAGAGAGAGAGATTGGAAGGATAGACACACACCAAAATAGTAACAGGAGTGGTAGAAAGGGTTGCGTGGGATTTTCACATTATATCCTTTAATACTTCTGTGACACTTAAAAACAAAACAGTAAGAATGTGTCCGTGAATTGCAAGTGTTTTTTTAAAAAAAAGCTGTTAAATTCCTGAGGTTCAGTTTCAAACACTAACTCTGTGGATGACTTTGCATCTTTACCTTTAGCTTTTCCTCGTCCCTCAGCAACAACTTACCTATTCAGTTTACAGACACATTTTTCAGGAAGTCTGCCTGCCCCTCTGCCCAGTGGACATCTCCACTCAAGCAGAAGCCTCCTTGTTGCTTTATGCTCACCAATGAAAGAAGCCCAAACTGAGCTCACCTCCTCAAACTGGCTCTCTTTCCCAACTGCTGTATGCCCACCTGTCATACCACCATCATTCTCCTCATCAACCAGGACAGAAATTTTCCAGGGTCATATTTGATCTTTCTTTTTCCTGTACATCCCATCCTCACTCCAGTCAGTTACTAAAGCTTGTCAGTTCTTCCTTTATAGTGTTCCGAGGATTTTCTTTCTACTCCTATCACAACTACTCTGATTCAGCATCTTCTCACTGGACTCCTAGAGTATTCTACTTGGTCTCCCTCTGAGTCAAGATTTCCTCTCTGGATCACTCTACCTATGGAATCTAAAATAATCCTTTTTGGTATTTTTTTAAGAGAGAAGAAGGAAGAGGGATAGAGAGATAGGAACACCAGTGAGAGAGAAACATCATGGATCGGCTGACTCCTGCATGTCCCCCACCAGGGATCAAGATAGGCCCTGACTGGGAATCGAACCAGTGACCTCTTGGTTCCTGGGTTGATGCTCAACCATTGAACAACACAGGCTGGACAATCCTCTTATTTTACTCATTTGTCTCTCTTACTTGAAAACTTTCAGTGGGTCTCCTTATCTCAGTGTAACTTCCAGACCTCTAGAGCTGATAGTCAAGAGTTTTCTTAATCATATTTTTCACTGCTTCCTAAACCAATTCTTTATAACCAGACTGGTCTATTAAGTCCTGATCACTCCTGCAGCCATGCCTCTGTCTAGACCAGCGGTTCTCAACATGTGGGTCACGACCCCTTTGGCGGTCGAATGACCCTTTCACAGGGGTCGCCTAAGACCATCCTGCATATCAGATATATTACGATTCATAACAGTAGCAACATTACAGTTATGAAATAGCAACGAAAATAATTTTATGGTTGGGTCACAACATGGGGAACTGTATTTATAGGGTCAGAAGGTTGAGAGCCACTGGTCTAGAGACTGTACTCACTAATTTTTCTCTATTTACCAAACTATAGCCACCCTTTAAATCCCAGCTAAAGTTCTAGCTTATCCATGCAGCTTTCCCTAACTTCCACACCCCAGTAACTGCAGATTCTGCTGAATTACAGCACGTCTAGCCTTTACTTCTTTTAGAACTTAATTATATATCACTTCCTTTTTTATGCACATTGCCTTTCTTCCCACCTACCACTGTCATATTCCATAGACAATGTCATACTTCTGTGGCTCCCACAGTACTTAGACCTAGGTTGGACACAAAATGGGTGATTTATATTGAAAGCCAGGGGGCAAAGATGAGTTCTGGATATGACCGAGGGATCAATAATAATAGCTAACACATACATATGTTAGGCACTTATACAAGTACTTTGCATATATTAACTCATTCAAAACTCAAAACATTACTAAAGATGGTAACTATCCTAATCTTCATTTTAAAGTTGTGGAAATTGAGCCCCAAGACTAATAGATGGCATACCTGGCTCTAGACTCTCCTCTTAACCACTTTATTGTATCACCACCAATAAGATTGGAAGAGGGCCATGTTGCTGTAAAGAGGATGAAGCAAAAGTGGGAGGACAGCAGAGGTTAAGGAATGAAATGATGGGGCTAAAAATATGGATCAGGAATTGACAATTACAAGTAAAAGACTGGTTAAGGGGGAACAATAATATTAAGGAGAATACAGATAAGGAATAGTTGTCAAACAAAGTCATTCAACATGGTTTGGGGGAGATGAGGAAGGCCCAGGAAGACCTCAAGGAAAGGGCTGCCATGTCAGCCTGGATGCAGAGATTAAGTGAGGAAAGGCAATTCTTACAAGATGGTGAAGGTGCCGTTGTAGATGCCGGGCTCTGACACAGGCACTTTGTTGAGCTTCTGATTTGTGCCAAAACCAATACACGACAGTGTCCCAATACTGCAGGTACAGAACTCACATATGTTCATGGTGGCACTCTGTTCAGTCATTAGAGGTACCATCTCATATGAGTCTGGTTGCTGAGTTTTGGCAACTTCCATATCAAAAGATAGAGCTGAGACCTCAGACAAGGTTGGCTGCAGAGCCTGAACAGGCTCTGAATATGGAAGTGTCATTTCAGGGTGCTTTGGAGGAGCATCAGTTACCAAAGTTGGTTCTGGGGTGATGGTGAGTCCCAGGTCCAAATGTGGAAAGGTTGGCTGCTGAGAATGAACAGGCTGTGGACGTGGAACTGTCACCTCAGAGTGCTTTGGAGGAGCTGTAGTCTGCTGCAGAGCGTTAGCCTGTGAAATAGGCTGAGCTGGGATCTCCTGCTGGTATGGAGGGTAGATATTTTCAGTTGGCCTGGGAGGGTAAAAAGAGACCTCCTTGTCAGTTGAAGGTGGTTCATTCTTCTTAGGGGTCTTTGGCTTTATCAAAATCCCCAGATCCACATCATCAATACTGATAGACAACACTTGATGCTGAACTTTACCCCAATCTGGAAGTGAAGATATTGCTTCGTGATGTACTGAAGGTTGAGCTTCAACATCCATAGTGGATTTTTGAAGTTGACCTTGACCCTTCAGATGGATTGAAGAAGTTTGTATATTGGCTAGAGACACAGGAGGTAGAGCTGAGCTCTTTGAAGATTGAACATATTCAGGGTAGGGCTGCTGCTTATCTTGATCTCCTTGGTGGTCGAACAAAAATTTCAAAGGCTCTTGGAACACTGTAGACTGAGTTGAGGCTTCTTGTTGGGTTGGAAGCTGAGTTGAAGCCTCCTGAGGGTTCAGAGAAGGTTCCGTTTTCTCAGGGGCCTCTGCAAGTACAGCTGAGGCATCACGGTCGACAGAAAGAAGTTCAAGGTTTGCAGGATTTTGCTGATCCCAAGACCAGGGCTCGGTAGGTCCCAGGGGGATGGAGGTCAGCAGGCTAGAGTCCATGGCCACCGGAATCGGAGCTGCCTGGACCTGCAGCCACAACAGCTGCCATAGGAACAGGAACCGTGGGGCCCACATGTGCAGCCCGGACATGACAGGCAGAGGTCCGGGGCACAGTGAGCCACCAAGGCGAATGGGGCAAGGAGAAGAGTGACCCAGACTGGGGCACAACGGGTGATCCAGGAGACTGGGGCACATACACGCAACCCAGATAAATGGGATGCAAGTACCTGCGCTGAGCAGGAGCCCAACAATTGGCAGCCATGTCACAATTGGCAGCCCTGTCATGCACGTGCTCCTTAGCAACCAAGCACCCCTCCCCCACCTCAAGTTCCAACCTTTATTTAGGCAATCTTTATTATTCTTGGACTGAAGTGACTATAGAAGAGTGAGCCTTTTCCCCAAAATCACCAGGGACCAAGTGGTTCCTTTCACCTGCAGAAAAGATAACTATCTCCCTCTGGGTCTCCCCTCCCCACTCACAGTGAGGCAGGATTTGGACTGCACACTTGGGTGGCCCCAGAGCCCAGGCATGGTGGGATGTGGGGAGGGGGTGTAAAAGAAGGTGGGGAGGGGGGAGTATTGAAGAGCTTTCCAAGAAAGCCACAGGGCCTGGCATCTTGTTATAATGTACCCCGCGCATCACAGAAGGACGCCTCAAGAAGTCGAATTAAAGAGTCACATTTATTGCAATCCGGAACTCCGAGGGGGCATTTTACTCTCCCAAGTCTCGAAGTGATAAGTCTAGTTAGAGTGTGGAGTGGGACACACTTTACAGTTCAAAAATGTTGCCATTTCCTCAAAATTCTCAGTATTCATGTCTGATTCTTTGTTTTTATTTTGGTTCTTTTTGTATTCTTACCCGAGATTATGTTTATTGATGAGAGAGAGAGAGAGAGAGAAAGGGAGAGAGATACCTTGATGTGAGAGAGAAAGAAACATCAATTGGCTGCCTCCCATACATGCCCCAACCAGGGATCGACCTGCAATGTCATGCCCTAACCAGGAATTGAATCAGGCTACAACTCCTTGGTGCACTTGGTGCTTGGGACAGTGCTCCAACCAAATGAGACACCCAGCCAGGGCTTCATGCCTGGGTTTTTATTCACCACTCTATTACACAGGGGCTACCATTGTGTAGTGATGACTCCAAAATTCCTGTAGATGGCGTTTTGGAGGGAAAGAGCATCTGAAACCAACTGAATAACCCTTTACAGTGGTATGGGAAAATGTCCCCCTCCCACCTTGGCTCAAAACAGCCATTAATCTAGAAAAGTAACAATGCCACTTTTCTGAGGTCTACCCTGTGCGCACACATGGAGAAAATACTTAGGGTGTTAAAGCCAGCATGTTAAATAATTTTTTTGAAATACTGTAACTGGCATCCAATTTGCTTCCTTCACAGCCCTTTTATAATCTATTTTACTTTACTCCTTGTTTGTTGTCTGGCACAACCTCCAGTATGTAAACTCCAAGAGAAAAGGGGCTGCATCTTATTCCCAGTGTCTAACACATAGTAACGGTTTTTATTTATTATTGTTATTATTTTTAGTAATGATTTTTAAATGGAACTCATTCCAAGATTAGCCTCATATGCGGGTGGATCTCTTGTTATAATCAGGCTTCTGAAAATTTTAGCATCAATACTAAATCCCATCTTCATGTACTTCACAGGAAGACAGATTTCTTAAAGCCCAGGACAATACTAGAGCTTTTGCTTTCTGTAGTCATCAGAGGTTGCAAATTTCAACTAAGTATTCTGAGAAGTCCCACACAGGCTAAATGCAAGAACTATTCTATTTCAGCACTAGCCGGGTGGTTCAGTTGGATGAGCATCGTCCTGTACATTGAAAGGTTGTAGGTTTGATTCCTGGTCAGGGCACATACCTAAGTTGCAGGTCAATCCCCAGATGGGGTGAATATAGGAGGCCGCTAATTGATGTTTTTCTCTCTCTTTTTCTCTTTCTCCCCCTCCCTCCCTCCTTCAAATCAATAAACATATTCTCAGGTGAGGATAAAAAAAAGAGTACAAAGGACTCGTGCCAATATGTTTAGCTAAATCAATGGCCTCCACGATTTATACACTGAAGCCATTTCTAAGCAATAGGGGATAGAGAATGATAACAAATGCCTCTTGAACACACAACAAAATGTGCTCATCTTCTCTAGAGAAGCTTCCCTAACCTCTCCTCCAACTGTATCCTGCACCTCCCTCTGTGCTCCTACAGCTCCTGAGCTACCTCCATCATGTCACCTGTAACATACCTACTTGATCGCCTCCCCCACTGGAGAGTGAGCTCCTTGATGCAGAAAACATCGTATGCTTATCTCTGTGTACACAGTAGGTGTTTAATAAGTGTCCAGAGGCAGTCCAAACTATCAGTTTTAATGAGGGGGCGTAGGGGAATGATCGGTAACACAGACTCAGGATGTGAACTCCATTTAGCTAAGTGAAGTAAGGATGAACTGGGCATTCTCACACTCTACTCAAAATGGGATTCCCAAGCCCTAATGAGGTGATAATTCCCCTCCTTCCCTGCCCTCAACCCCCATACCCAGTGGATTTATTGCAAGGGATACTATTCTAGGACTTAACTCTTTCCAGTTCAGGAATGTGAGACGTGACAGCAGGAGTCAACCCTGGTTCTAGGAAGCTCCAGAAGCACTCTGTGGGTCACCCACCCTCTCACTGCAAGGAAACCTCTCACTTTCCCTGACTCAAGGTAATATAGAGGCTTCCCCTTCTATGCCTTCGACTGGCACTGTGCTCATAACTCCATTCTGGGCACTTTCACATCTATTGTCATTTTGTCCTCCCAGCCTCTGGGAGCTGCAGGCAGGACTGGCAACTCCAGCAGTAATATGGCCTGGCAAAGGCCCTGCCAGGTACTTTTTATTCCCCCCAGCATATCCATATCCATGGTTTTATCTGATCCCAATCTGTTTTGTATAGGATAGGAAGCAAAACCTAGAGAATTTAACAGACTTGATCAAAGTCACACAGGATGTGTGTTAAGACCTAAGATCTTCCAACTTCTGGTCCAAAGAGGACCAAACTTCCTTAAAAGGTATGACCTTCTGAGATGGAACATACAGGGAAACTCTGAAGGTACCAGACTCTCAAATAGACTATAAAGATGCTGAGGAGCGGGAAACAGAGGTGGCCAATCTTGACATTCTGTGTTCTCCTAGAAAGACAGTGCTGAGATGCATGAGTGTTGGGGAGAACATTGGGTGTTGGGGCCGAGAGCACTAGCCAGAAGAAGGTGAAATGCCTAGATCTAGAGAATTCATTGCAAGCAACTCCTGAGACTGGAATTCCAAGGTGAGCTGGAACACATGATCATTTTGCCAAGATCATAAACCAAAAAGGGGTAAATCCTTTGGGTTTTGCCAATATAGTAGCCAAGTCACTTGGGGGAAGTGAGATTGTAGATTGAAGAAACAAGTACACAATTATCCAAGTGCAGGGTTCAGGATGGAGTCTGGAGGACAATGAACTGGTTGAAGTAGTTCATCTGAGCAGCAACACTCCATCCCTCAGCCAGCCAGCCCCACACCTCTTAAAGTAGAAAAGGCCTTCAACCCCATCACAGCCTGTTCTTTGGCAGTCAAGGGTGGAGGGCAATGACTTCAGGGCAAGTTAAATTCCTGACAGAAGTTTAAAGTGTCACTAGTATTTGACGGGTTCAAGCAAACCTTCAGGATTCTTTATGAAGCATTTTACCTACTTAAAAAAGTGCTTTTATACCTGTTTCTAGCTCTTTCCAGGCTGGAACATCCAGTAAGAGAGGAAAATAAATTATTTTCCGTTATTGAGTACCTGCGATATGACAGGCACTATGTGAGGCAGGGGAAACATGCTTTGGAAAGTGGTGGTTAAGTATTGAGAAAGTCTTCCCCAAAATGTGATATCTGATTTTTATAAAAATTTATATTAGCTTGCTTTGTTTTCAACAGAAAATATACATGGCCACTGAACAAAATTTTTAAAAAATAATAAGAAAACAAAAATTGCTCAGCATTCTGGACATAAAAGTAGTTCTGTATTTTGCTATTATTATTTAATAGTCTTTCTTGAACTAGCATATCTTATCATCCTATATAATAAAGAGGTAATATGCAAATTAACCCTCCCACCCTCATAAGATGGCTGCCTACGACCAGGCTGGCAGGGGGGTTAGTGAGGGACGACCAAGCAAGTGAATAGCAGGCTGCGTGGGGCGACCAGGCCGGCTGGGGGGTGGTTAGTGAGGGGAGACCAGGCCGGCAGGGGAGCAGTTAGGGGTGACCAGGCTGGCAGAGGGGGGCAGTAAGAGGCGACTAGGCTGGCAGGGGGGGCAGTTAGGGGTGACCCTGCCAGCAGTGGGGGGCAGTTGGGGGTGACCAGATCGGCAGGGGAGACAGTAAGAGGTGAGTAGGC